TCTTTAGAAACTAGTAATCAGCCTAGGTTAAAGGAAATTCAAAGGAAGATTTCTGAGTACTGACAAACAAACTCTATATCAGGTTGGTTTTAACAGGAAACAGTTGGACTGTTTTCTTAGTTGAATGGCTAAAATCTAGGTTAAAATGTAGCCTATACCAAATAAAGTCAAGATGGCAAAAGAAAAAAATAAAATCTGTCATCTAGATATTGGAAAGAGGAACACTCTGGTTAGACAGCACACAGATTCAACTTCCCAGGTATCAGAGAGTCTAGAAAGAGCCAGAGCCCAGTGACCCAAGAAAATAAGCAAGAGGGTTTTGTCATATGATAGGGCATTTCTTGGGTATATTCCCAAGAGTGGTATTGCTGGGTCCAGGGGTAGGTTGATCCCGAATTTCCTAAGAAACCGAAACACTGACTTCCATAGTGGTTGCACAAGATTGCATTCCCACCAGCAATGGATGAGGGTACCCCTTCCTCCACAACCACTCCAGCAAAGGTTATCGTTGGTGTTTTTGACTGGTCTACAAGAGCTAGTTTCAGGACAGGCTCCAAAACCACAGAGAAACCCTGTCTCGAAAAACCAAAAAAAAAAAAAAAAAAGAATTATGAGGACTCTATTGAGAGAGAATTAACAAAGTAAGTGTGCATATGTAAAATATGTAGTTGGATACATTTTAACAAGTATTTATATCTTTATGCAACCACCATCACACTCAGTGTTTCATCATGCCCTTTGCAGATGGTCTCTGTCAGTTGCCCACGAATTGATGTGTTGATTACTGGCATCTAGGTATAATTCTGATTTTCTAGAACTTTGCATCAGTGATCACATAGTTTTCCCTCTTGTGACTCTGAGATTGTTGTATCTGTTCTGTGCATCAGTCAGCCAGTCATGTTTGTTATTAGTGCTTTGTTGTATGTGTGTATCACAGCTTAACCAGTCACTTATTGCTTAATCATTTCGACTAAATGCATTTGGTTATTATGAATAAAAATGCTATGGGCATTCTTAAAAAAAAAGAAAAGAAGCAAGAGGGGAACATAAGCTAGGATCATGATAGACTCTGAGTGGACATAGACTTTGATTCTGCTTAAAGCAAAGGATTGGGTAACAAAGAAATCAGACTGCCACGATGCAAGTAAAATGAAGGCATTTTAATAATGGAGGGACTTGACCTTAAAACGCTTTGGATTTTTATCTGTATCTGCCTCTAGTAAAGGAAAGGCTCTTCTGGGTTAGCTCTTCTTTACTACTGGTATTTACATAGAAATCAAAGCAGCCAAAATCCTACATTGTGACTGAAATTCTATGATATTGGTATTGTACTTTGAAGAGTTTCTGATCTTTCTTTTTGAAGATTACATTAAAATCTGTAGATGATATAACCTGCTGCAATTCAGTGTTGCTTATTTGTATATGTGTTTAGGGCTGACCTCTTAGGACTAGACAATCTATTAGGGGACTCATCCCTAGAGAAGACCATGCTTATATGTATGTGTGTATAATAATAATAATAATAACTAAAGTAAAATGTGTGTATAATAAAAAGTAAAGAAGAGATCATGAATTTTAGAGGGAGTTGGAGAGACACAGGAGGGATTAGAGGGGCTAGAAGTAGGGGTAGAAATTAGGTAAATACAGTACTCATGTATGAAATTCTTTTCAAAAACATAAAATATTTAAGGAAGAAATTTACATGAAAACTGAAAAATATGCAGCAAAAATACCATAATGTTTAACAGAGATCCAAGAGTAGTGGTTTGTGTCTTAGCATTGGTATTATTCCTCGGAATGTCATCCTTTACTTCATCTTACTTACCATTTCAGCTTCATCCTGATTGATCCTGTTCTCATAAGGTCTTCTATGATGACCTTGAAAAAATAATTCTTTCATTTTCTCTGCTCCTTTCAGAGAACTTTATGGATTGTTCTGAGACTGGATGTATACATTTTAAAAAAATTCCTCCTAGACAGTAAGAACATCTAGGTGTGTGCCCTTTAGCAAATACCTACATGACTGTTATTTTCAATGTGCCATGTAAGCAAAAAAAAAAAAAAAAAGGTTGGAGGCTGATGATGACAAGGATCCTTGCAGTTCTAATTGATCCCTTGAATGTTGTGTAATAGGCTATTTGTTTGACTACGTAAAATGTGTTACATTTGTTTGTGTTGCCGAATAATTATTTAATTATGTAAAGATGTATTACATTTGTTTATGATGCATTTGTTTAATTATGTAAAGATGTGTTGCTGTTTTACCTTTCCTGCCTAAGACACTCAATTGGTCTAATTAAAGCTGAATGGGCAATAGCTAGGCAGAGGAGGGATAGGCAGGCTGGTGGGCAGAGAGAAAAGGGGAGCCAGCTAGCTAGTCAGGAGCCAGGCAGCAAGATCATAGAGGGAGCAGGAAGGCAGGACGGACAATACGCAGAGGAGGTAAACAAGCCTTAGGACAGCACATAGATTAATAGAAATGGGTTAATTTAAGTTAAAGAAAAGTTAGGTAGAAATAAGCCTAAGCTAAGGCTGATCATCCATAATTAATAATAAGTCTCCATGTCATAATTTGGGGGATGGCAGTCCAAGAAAGCCTGCTACACTTAGATAATTAAAAAATTTTTCATGTGTCTTGAAAGTAAACCTCAATTTTTAAGCCAGCCTGTAATATCCCACCAATCTGACTTTTTAAAGGCATGAATGGGGACTTCACAATTCATAGAAGTCACAAGAGAAATATATTTCTCAGAGCAATCTCCTCCTCATGTTGTATACTGAAAAGTTTCCATAAGGATTTAATAAAGAAGATTGTGTTCCTTCTTTCCACTTACATTATTATTTTCAAGATACGCCTCTTATGAGAAATGTCAAGCGGAAATTATTTTATGTCTACCCAGCAGCCTTTGGGATGTAGAGAATAAGACCAAAACAAATAGATTACAAAGGCAAGATGCAAAGGTAGTGATTTCTGATTAGGACAGAACTGATCTATAATAACTTTCTTATCTTTCTTTCTATTCATTACTTGCTCATCCCACCTAACCAAAGAAGAAAATGTTCACAACTACTGCTCTGTATTAATGGGTTGGTCAAATAGGTATTATTTTTCTGCTCATATGCTGTTAATCCCTGTGAGGGCAATAATAATGTCCTATGCTTGTCTTATTCTTTCATATTTTCTTCATGTTTTCCTGCAACCGCTTTATACGTAGAAAATGTTTATTGAAAAGTAACCACGAGTAATTAAAGCCTCTTTCACTTGACTAATACATTCCCCAGGAGCTGAGGAGCCATTTACCCTCTAATAGACAGAAGGTAGCTAATGTAGCAAGACCTTTAGACTTGCTCCAGTCTTCTGTGTTGTGTTTCTGATCAAATCACACAAAATCTTTCTATTTGTCTCTCCAAAACAGAGACGATAATGATGTTCCCAGCGTATTTCTTACAGGGCTGCCACAGGGGTCAAATAGAGTGAACATGCTCTTTTGTTCCAAACAACCAGGATCCCTATTACAAAAGTGTTAGGAACAGACTTGAATGCAATTCCTCACTATGAATGTGTTTTAGAAATTGTAAAATGCTGTGAATATCTCAAGTTATTAGCAATGATCCATTTAATGATAATAATTACACATTGAACTTCACATGCCTTCCTAGATGTATGGATATCTATAATTTGATTGTAAATACGAATGCGTCCTGGTACCTCACTCATTACAACCAAACTGGAGCAGTATTGGGCAACAGTGTCCTGTCAATTAGCACCTGCTGAGATTTTGCTGACTGACACTGTTACAGTAGCACTGTGGTTACAAATAGTAATGAAGACTATATATTGGATTTCTTACATGCCTCTCTCTATTGCCTTGACAAGAAACAAGACAAGTTCCTCCATGTGACATGTTGATAGTCTATTAAACAGGAATTACTGTCCCAAGGAAAATCTGGATGCTATAAAACCATGATCAAAAATGCCTCTGTGAAGAAGGAAGGTATTGGGAGAATGAACAAAATTCTAGTTGATGAGCAGCTTCTCCACTTATTAAAATATCCTGAGCATGACAGAAACTGTCTCCCATATACACAGGAGGTATAAAGACTAGATAAAAATAATCTATTGATGCAAGGTGCCAAGCAACTCTAAATGTTTACTGTGTGGGCATTATTTCCATATATGTATATATAACGAGAATACTGCTGGGGCCAATGGCAGCTCAGCCTTAAAAGATTGACAAGAATTCATAAGGAAACCTTGAAATGAGTTGTTTTAACAGACTAATGGAAATATATATATATGAGACAAATCATACCCAATCAGTACTTCCACTGAGGAATTTAAGCATGATCCTTCCCATTTATGTTTCTGTTGAAATTTCTCCAGATTTGACCTTTGAGTTTTCTGATTCCTTTCTTTATCTTTGTTTGTTTTGGAGTGGCGCACATGTGTGTGCATGTGTGTATGTGTGTGTGTACATGTGTGTTCTACAGCAAAGGGTTATTTTTTTTCTTTGTCTGTTAGCTTTAACAAATATACTCTTTCTACATCTCTCTACCCTATGATGTAGTCTTTAAATTGGTTAGCTCATATACAAGCCTGCTGGGAAGAATTCTTTCAGAAATAATGAGGCCGTGATTAGGAGTAAATGAGTCAGGACCTGCTGTTTCTATGCCTATTAAAGGATAGCTAAGGAAGTACCATTAGGCCACACACACACACACACACACACACACACACACACACATAATTTTTCTAAAGTTGGTAAGGTGGGATTCACATCAGCTGTAACTAAAAACAAGCAATATTGACCGCTGCTTTGAGAAACTCCCCATATCACTTAATCCACTGTTAGCATACTGATTTCACTCTCAGTGAAAATAAGCAAACAAAACCCCATGGGTTTCTTAGGAGTACTCTACTGCTGTTCAGGGGAACTAAAGTTTATGTTTAATAACATTTATCTTTGCTGTATTTCATGTTATGTTCTCTCTTCTTTTAGGTTAACAATACATGCTGAATGTCCTATGCATTTGGAAGATTTCCCCATGGATGTGCATGCCTGCCCACTGAAGTTTGGAAGCTGTATGTATTTTCTGGTTTTGTTTATCTAATCTGCTTCCAGATGAAATGTAATATATTCTACTTTTCCCTGGGAAGTTCCTAATACTGAGTTTACAGCAGACTTTAATCCTTGCTGATGTGGACTGAGTGAGTGAGGAGAGTGGGGTCAAGTAGTACTAACTGATCAAGAATAGTAGACTCGACTTTTAGCAAATTTTTCTTTAAAAAACAAAACTTTATTCCATTATTTCAGAATAATTTCTGTCATTAGGTGGAAGCATCAACATTTGTCCTTTTTTAGAAGACAGAGATGATAAAGAATATGAGCTTCTTAAGGACAAAAGAATACATAATTTTTAATATCTATTCTCCCTGCACCTCCATTTATTACTATCCAGTCCCTAACAATAGGTGGTAAATAGTAGGGGCAGCTGTAGAAATTTGCTCATGTTTTAGAGCACTGCCTTTCCCATTTGCTGTAACTCTTACAAAGAAAGCATTAGAGTGCATTTTGAAATGAATTGCAGATGTCAAAAGTGAATATACTTGAGAGCAGTTTTGAACATAAGGTTATCTAAATAAGTTAGAGTAATATATCAATATCTGTGTTGATCACATTTGAATGATACTGAAATAGAAATTGCATTTGAAAAGTCTCAAGTAATTATATGTGACATATTTTATCAATTATTAGTTTGTCAAATATTTACAGACCATCCCTTGTGTAACAGCCTCTATTCTATGAGCTTGGAATGCATTCATTAATAAAACAAAATCCTTAAACGTATGGAGCTCATATTATTGAGAATAATATGATAGTGAAATATAAAATAAACATTGAATAAAAGTGAAAGTAGGTATAAAGTAAGGAGAACTATGGAAAAAGCTTTGAACACTTGGTAATTATACACATGTGTAGGATGTAGAATGACACTTCAAACACATATATAATATAATGTAATATGATGATTAACTTAAAGTAACTAACATTTCCATCATTTCCAGTATTTTTCATTTCTTAATGCCAAGAGCAGTCAACATCTTTCATTAGGTACTTTGAAATGTACAGGTGGAATGCTCACAAACTATAGTCTCTCTGCTGTGCTATAGAACAGTATAATATTTTGTTGTTAGGAGGCTGCTAGTTAGTTCCCAGCTGCTTAGCCCTGAAATAACCACACAGAAACTGTATTAATTAAATCGCTGTTTGGCCCATTAGCTCTAGCTTCTTATTGACTAACTCTTACATATTAATTTAACCCATTTCTATTCATCTGTGTATCTCCACGTGGCTGTGACTTACCAGGTAAAGTTCTGGCATCTGTCTCCAGTGGAGCTACATGGCTTCTCCTTGACTCTGCCCTTCTTTCTTCCAGAATTCAGCTTAGTTTTCCTCACCTACCTAAGTTCTGCCCTATCAAGAGGCCAAGACAGTTTCTTTATTAATCAGTGGTATTCACAGCATACAGAGGGGAATCCCACATCAGTATTCCTCCTGCCCAACTGCATTGTGATAGCTGTTAGGTACCTATCTCCTTACCTGTACATTTTGTTAAATAAGGCAATCCTGACCAGTCTGTTTTCAGTTTAATTGACAATCAAATATATCATCCAGGCAGGAACAACTCATTATCCTTATTCATATTATGTATAAATTAAAATATTCTAAAAGTCTTGTAAGATCAGACATTTTTATGATGAAATGGGGCAGATGATGCAGAGATCTGAGGAAATATTGTTCTAGGTAATATAGATGCATCTCAGGAAAAATATTTGAAGGAAGAAAAGTATTTGGCTTTTCCAATAAATATCAGAGCAGCCATGTGGCTTCCCAGTGGGCATAAGAATGAAAATAGTAGGTATAGATGAGACTGTAAATTAATGTAGAGCCTCCAGAACTTTCTAGAACATTGAAGACCCTTAGATTATATTCTGTGGGTAAACAGAATGAGTGGAATATTTTGAATTAAAGATTGGTATTGTTTGACTTAGTTTGAAAGAAGAATGTATTAGGTATTTTAAAACTTGTTAATACAGAAAATATAATTAGGTAATCCATTGAAGTTTATATTTCAGTATTTAAGGTGAGATATGGTGATGAAGGTTATTAAAGTAAAGATACTTCAGCTTCCCTGTGATAGTAAAAGGTGATGAGGAGTTGCTATGCTATGAAAATACCTACAGCAAGATCCCCTGATGAATTAGTTATGGAGCAGAGGGAAAACTCAAGAGTAACTAAGAGACAGTCATATTAATGAACTTGCTGTCAAATGAGACAAGTAGTGTTAGGAATCAGAGCAGCAGGTTTGAGAAAGGAGCTGACTTGAAATTACCCTTCAGAAATGCTCTTTATTAAGAGAGAGCAACTCACTAGTGAGAGAGACATGATCAAGATTTGAGATAGAGAGCAATTAGAATGAAAAGAGTATACAGCATAGGCAACACGACAGGGCCCCGAAAGGAAAGAGAAACCCCTTGAAAACTTGGAAAGGAACTCCATTATGCTTAAAATAAAAAGCAAATAAGAGATAGCTTAAAGTTGATAGAGTAAGAGAGAAAGACACCATGGACAGAATGGCAGGCGTGTGAAGGGCCTACAGGCAGAAGAGGCAGAGAAAAATAAAACAGTCAGGAAGTAATTAGGTAGCCCCGCCATAAATCAAAGACAGCTTTGGGAAAGTGTCAAAGTTGTTTCCTGAGACAAGAGCAGCAGAGATAAGAAAGAACATTGTTTGTCTGTTACTTCTGTAGTACTGGAAACTAGAGCAGGATGTGAATGGCTAGATTGCTCTAGGTTGAGCATCTAATCTCTTAAGGTCCCAAGCATCTTAAAGTGACAAGCCATGATCTAATGGAGAGATACAGTGTCAGCTTCTGAACTCCATATCACTCATATGCACATCCACATAAACACACATACAGAACTGAAAGAAAAAATACAGAAAAAAGTAAGAAACATGTTAAGCATGGTGAAAAAATCATTATGTGCAACTAAAAATGTCCTATAAGAATTTCATACACGTGTATTTTGCAGAAGGAAAAGAAACTTTTAAAACTGATAAAAATTATTAATCCAAAATCTCAAGATGCACACAGATAAATATGAAGAAAACAATGCTGATTTTAAAGTTTGCATGGAAACATTAAGATGCTAAGAATTCTTAAGAAAATCTTAAGATTGTGAATAAGAATAAATCCACAGAACTCACAATGAAATCAAATCTACTTGAAGCTACAGTAATTTAGACGAGATATTACTCTTTCAAAAATAGACTAATAGCATAGAATTAACAAGAAATTGAGAGAAGTCTTGGATATAATTTTATATCAAATATATGTAAAAGTAAATTCCAGATGGATTGGAAGTCTAAGTAAAGAAAAAGAGGCTATCAACTTGAGGAGGGCCATACAAGGAGTTTGAAAGGGGGTATTTGAGTGTTTGAGAGGGCCTCAAGAAAGAGTATATGGACGGGGCTGGAGGAGGAAAGTAATGTAATTCTATTTCAACTAAAAACACGTTTTAAAACCAGAACTTTTAGATGAAAATGTAAGAGAATATCTTCATAAATTGAAGAATGTAGAGGTCAATTGAACAAAGGCATAGACTGAAACTGAGAAGATACCTGATATATCTTAAACAGTAAGAATTTCTATTTATCAAAATATCATTAAGAGAACAATAAGACAGGGTGGGAATGGCAGAGTGTGGTTGTACAGCTTATAAGTGTAGCACTTAGAAATCCGAGGCAGAAGGTCTAATGTGAGTTTGAGGCCAGTCTGTGATACATAGTGAGTTCCAGGATGCCTGGGTTATAAACTAAGATTCTGTGTAGACAAAAAACAAACAAACAAAAATTAAAAAACAAAAGTAAAACAAAAAGACACTAAGAAATCTTTTCATAGGATGAAAAAATTATTTGTGTTATGTACAATTTGTGCTATGACAAAATATTCAAATACGTAAGACTCCCAACAAGTCTCTAGGAAGCAAAAACTTTAGGATTTCTCTGTTTCTCTCTCACATTTGGACTTACTGAGTAGTTGATGACTACATTATCAAAGAAACAAAAATTTAAATTCAGAGTGCACCACTGCACATTCACCACATATGGGTGAGGTTTTAGAGCAACTCTGTACTTTCCTGAATATAGACTTCTAGAAAGTTTAGGGGAAATTGTTTGGTCATACCTCATAGTACTGAACATATACATATGAAACATTTGCATTTTTTGCCAACAGTATATAAATATTTATGTTTATTAGTATTCAGGTAAGTGACAGCTATAGCAGAACTAGTTGTAATAGGCTCACACAAAAAAAAAATATCTTAAGGTCCGTCAGGGTGGATTAGACATGTGGGGTATACCCATATCAAAAAACAATAATATTATGTCAATTATGTTCAACAAGTTGAATAACAGAACAGATAGCTTTCTGAGAAAAGCCAGATGTCTGAGTAACATCTTCAGTGTGGCTCTGTTCCTGTTATATGCAAAAATAAGGAACATTAATCTGTAGTAGAAGTCCTCAGTAACTGATATATAATTGCTCTTGATACCATTTCCAAATTTCTGACATTAATGTAGGATTAAGATTAGTCTTATTAATTAGGATTAATATAGTATAGGATTTATATGCTAGATGTTGCAGGTGATATGAATTTTAAATAGAACTAGAGTCATGGATCAAAAGTCCCAGTTTTACTTCTAAAATGTGTTATTTCTTGTGAGAATACCCTCAACATTTGCATATCCTTTACTAGTGTTCCATGTTCATTTCAGCTCACAATTCCATGTTAGAGTGTATCTTTGTGAGAGGGTAAAATCAGAAATATCAGTCAAGAGCAGAGAAATTCAAAGAAATTATTGCATGTATGATGGCTTATCTGCTTGTGCCAAGCTCAGTTCCTCCATTTTTCAGTCCCACAAACCCTACCTAGAGAATGATGCCACCCACAATGGGCTAGATCTTCTCACATCAATTAAAACAATCCCCCACAGACATGCTGTCCTAGTTCGCTTTCTACTGCTGTGATAAACATTCAGAACCAAAGCAACTTGGAGAGGAAAGTGTTTATTTGACATATACTTCCTGATCACAATCTATTATTGGGGGATATTAACATAGGATCTCAAGCAGAAACCTAGAGGCAGGAATTGAATGAAGACGAGATTATGGAGGAATACTTCTTACTGGCTTGTTCCTCCTGGCTTACTCAGTTACTTTCTTTTTTCTTTTTTTTTTTTGATTTTTTGAGACAGGGTTTCTCCATAGCTTTTGGTTCCTGTCCTGGAACTAGCTCTTGTAGACCAGGCTGGCCTCGAACTCACAGAGATCCACCTGCCTCTGCCTCCCGAGTGCTGGGATTAAAGGCGTGCGCCACCACCGCCCGGCTTCAGTTACTTTCTTATACAATTGAGGGCCACTTGCCTGTGGTGGTACCGTCCATAGTGGGCTGGGCCCTCCTACATTAATCATAATCAAGAAAATGCTCAATGAACTTGCCTCAGGCCAATACAATAGAGTTATTTTCTCATTTGTAATTTCCTCTTTTCAAATAACTCTAGCTTATGTCAAGTTGACAGAAAATAAACCAACACATATGCCCACAGACCAGGCCAATGTAAACATGATTTTAGGTTGTATGAAGTTGACAGTTTAAGGTAACCATCACAGCTATATATACACAAACAAACATATATAATTTTGAAGGATAATTTGCCACTAGCAATATGTAGTAGTAAAGACACAGCACGCACTAATATTAAATAAAGTCAAATGATCAGATTGTGTGCTAGCTAGTCTTATGTCAACTTGACACAAGTTAGAGTTATCTGAAAGGAGAGAACCTCAATTTATAAAATTTTTTCATAAGATCCAACTGTAGGGAATTTTCTTAATTAGTGATTGATGAGGGAGAGGCCAGCCTATTGTGGGTGGCACCATCCCTATAGCTCCTCGATATAGAAAAGCAGGCTGAACCAGTCATAGGGAAGTAAACCAATAACGGCACCACTCCATGGCTTCTGTATCAGTTCCTGTGTAGCTGGAGAATTTGCTCTGTGCTGGATCCCGGTGGACTTGTTTCTCTTCCACCCATTGGTCTTCACAGCCACTTATGAAATAATCATTTGGAGGTTTAATATTAATTATAATTGTTTGGCTGAACACTCAGACTTTTTTTTTGTTTTTTTAAGACAGGGTTTCTCTGTATAGCTTTGGAATCTGTCCTGGAACTAGTTCTGTAGAGTAGTCTGACCTTGAACTTAAAGAGATCTTCTTGCCTCTGCCTCCCAAGTGCTGTGATTAAAGGCATGCACCATCACCACCCAGATGGTTCAGGCTATCTCTACATATAAATTAACTCATTTCTAACAATCTGTGTATCACCATGTTCTCTGTGATTTACCGGTATCTTATTCTGGTATCTTATTCTTCTGGCGACTGCTGGTGTCTCCCTGTCACTCTGCTTGGAATTCCTGTCTAGTTATATTCTGCCCTGCCATATATCAAAGCAGATTGCTTATTAACCAATGGTAATAAAACATATTCGCAGCATACAAAGGGGCATCCCATATCATTCCTGTCTCTAGGATCTTGCTCTGTTTGAGTTCATGCCCTGATTTCCTTTGGGAATGAACAGAAATGTGAAAGTATAAGATGAATAAACCCTATTCTCCCCAACTTGCTTTTGGGTCTTAGTGTTTTATTGCAATAATAGAAACCCTAATACAAATTGATACCAGGAGTGGGATATTTATGTGACAGATGTGACCATGTTGCTTTGGGGGATGATTGTAGAAGCACTTTGGAATATTGCGCTAGAAGAACCACTGAGTGCTAAGAGCTCTATTTGTTCTGTGGGCGCTTGGAAGGTAAGAATGTTGAGAGAAGTGCAGAAGATGGAGGTCTGTCTTGGGAAGTTTCACATCGAAGTTTAAAGACTCTATTGAGGTCATTTGTTATTTTGAATTACGATCCTGTGGTCCTGCTTAGCTGGGGCTGAAGAATCATGTGTCATTAATAAGTCAGCAGAACTACTAAATAGAAATTTGCTTTGCTGAGATACTTGATGCTGGTTGACTGGAGCTAAGAAATTAGTAGTGATTAAGAAGAGACCAGCATCACTGAGGTGAAATCTTCTGACAGTGTCCCTTGAAAACACACAGAAGCTGTATTCCAGAAACAGCCAAGGTTGTACCTCACGCTGGCAGCAAGACTTTGTAATGGGTAAAAGTCATCCAGGTGGTATTAGTTTTGAAGGCATGAAGCGGTCATGGGGAGCAGTCAAGACTTCGCAGTGTGAGAGACTAGGAGAGGCAATTGGTGAAGGTAAGGCTTCAGTGGCAGTTGAAGGCCTGGAACTGAAGGAATCATACGGAGAAGTTGAGGCTTGGCACCATGAGAGGCTACTGGTGAAAGTGCAGCCCAGTTGTAGCAGAAGACCCCAGCATTTTAGAGATGCCAGTACCATGACCACCCAAACAGCAGCAGCAGTGGAGACTGGCCAAGCTTCAAAGATAAGCTGTGTGTGCTGCAGAGGGGGGAGCTTGAGAAGTGAGCCACGCCCCTTGGAGAAACATAGAAAATCATGAGAGAATCCAGATATTGGACACTGAGTTATTTACAGTTTTGGACTTCAAATTTGCTTTGGTTTTATTGTGACTATATCCTAGTTCTTCCCTCTTGAAGTAAGAAAATATTTAATTTATTTTTTTAATTTACTGGAGCCAATAGTTAAAAGACTGAACTTTTAAAAGACTTAGGATTTGAAAAGAGATTGATTATTTTAAAGGGATTAAAATTTTAATGTTTGAATTTGTAAAGACTGTGGGACTTTTAAAGTTATTTATGATTTTAATGTAAGATCTTTGGGACAGAATAAGAAAGGAAGGTTTGTGGCTTAACAGTGATCTGCTTGTGTGTCAAGTTGACAAGAGGTCAGTGATGCTGGCCAGTCTTACGCCGACTTGATATAAGTTAGAGTTACCTGAAAGGAAGGAACCCCAATTGAGAAAATTTCTCTGTAAAGTCTGGCTGTAAGGCATTTTCTTAATTAGTAATCAGTGGGTGAGGGCCCAGCCCATTGTAGGTAGTGCCGTCCCTGGGCTGATGGCCCTGCTTCTGTAAGAAAGCAGGCTGAGTGAACCATGGTGAGCAAGGTAGTAAGCAACACCTCTCTATGGTCTCTGCGTCAGCTCCTGCCTCCGAACTCGGACCCTCATGCTTATATGGCAAGTGCTTTACCAATTGATCCATTCTCCTCTTACAAAATTTTCTTAGATACATATGACAATGCAGATATGAAACTGTCATAGAATTATATGTGGTACCAATGAGAATTTTGATGTCCATGAGTTCTTGGCATGTTGTTCATTACAAGTAAATCATAGAATAGCTTACTTTTTTGAAAAAAAAAGTCCTAAATAAAATATATGCAAGTCACAATATACATGAGTAAGTATAAGATTTGCTTATTAGTAGTATATTCAGTATTGCAAAATATTGCAGAGACCCAGAGGTTACATTGGTTTACTAAAAGATTCACCAGAAATTATTTTTCTGGTAAACTATCTATCTAGAGCATTTTAAAGATACAGTAGCTGCCATCATGAGATGGAGACACTTTACCTCTTTGACTTTAACAACAGACAGCTTAAAACTCAGAGGGAAGGGGCAAACTGTATGGTGCTTAGCTTCTCTTTCTGAGCTTAGGTACCCGAGTTAGGGTAAGGTGCTCACTCTAAATATGAAATTTGGTGTAGGAATTCCCTAGGAAGAAATCAACTCATTCATTTCAGATATTGACAAGAAGTCTGTATCTTTATGCCATCTCACACCTTTGTTAATCTCTAAAAGATTCTGTATTTAACATTTTAATTTCAAATCAAAAAGAAAACATTGACAACCAGATGTAAAGGAAAATGTGGGATTTCTGGTATACATATTAAAGTGGTAATAAATAAGTTATGAAAGAAAACTGTAATAATTGTTGCCATTTGAATTTTTATTTTTAATTTAAAATTTCATTAGTTTGAGTCTTATCCTAACCTCATAGGCACATTTCATCATTAATTCAAGAAATTTTTATTTTATTTCTGGCAGTTTATTTTTTATTACCAGCCTGAATCACTCATTTCAGGTATGTTGCTAGCTCTTGTCTCCTTTGAATTTGACATTTGTGAATGAGGAGATATATTTTCTCCAAGAAAAGGAAAGGTGTGAGTCTAGAACATTGTCAGTCCTTAGAGGTATAAAATATGTAGTTTTATTTCATATATGTTATAAATATAATAAATATTTACTGAACAGTTGTTAGAGGAGTTATATAAATAATAGAAGGGTGGATTCACATGAACAATATGCATATATCTAGATAACTTTGTCAATGACAGATGTATTGAATTAAATGTTATTAAATACATCCATGTTTAGCATGATAGGAAATCATTTTTCATTCTCTTAAACTTCTTTTTTACTCAATTCTGCTATAGATGCCTATACCAAAGCTGAAGTGATTTATTCTTGGACTCTTGGGAAGAACAAGTCTGTGGAAGTAGCACAGGATGGCTCTCGCCTGAATCAGTATGACTTGCTTGGCCATGTTGTTGGGACAGAGATAATCTGGTCTAGTACAGGTATTGGCTATTTTATCTATTAAACTTCTATGTAATCTCTACCATATGCCAACATTGTATGCATAACTTATTTAATCTTTAAAACAGTTTTTGAACACTATTACAGTGATGAAATTAAAGGGATTTAATAATTTATCCCATGTTGGAATTCAGTGTCAGAATCAAATTGTGAACCCAAGCAATAAGCTCTTAAGTCCCTCTGAAGCCTGGTACCCTGATACCTTCTAAGAAGTGTGACAGAAGTAAAGGAAATGTGATAGAAATCAAAGAGGGCATAGTGGTAAGATCACTGAGCTTAGGTCAGAAAAGATCCACTAGTGCTGAGGCAGTAAGTTATTAGCCCTTCTAGAGGTTTAAGAGAGTAGTCAGCAAATTAGTTTCTTCACTAGATTACCGACCTCAAGGAAAATGTGTTTTAACAAAACCTGTGACATCTTCGCAATAGCTTATATTTGGATAAACAAATACCTTTTGAGAGACGTGTTCTGAAGTATGCAGGTTGTCCATTTGTATACTACCTGATTGTAGAGGTACAATAAAAATGAAAATTTACTGAAATAAAAAAGTACGTCAAAAGGAAAACAGAGTAATTGGAAAAATGGAATAGATGCTAGATCCCATATGTCACGTAACATATGTGCGATTATAGTGTGGAGGTGTTCAGCATTACTTTTTAAACATTAGTCTCTGTTGAGTCCACAATTACTGATGACGTTGGATACCCAGCCATTCTTTCATTATTTGGACATTTTTCGGCTATGACTTCATGATGTTATAGCATGTCACCTTGTGTGTCCTTCACTTCAGGACCAGGGGAGAATATAGCATATTAGAAATGCCTTTGCGCAGGGCTGTGGATTTCCTATCTCCAGGAGTATATTCTGTACAAATTAATTGTGCTCCCTGTCTTAGACCTCTTCTGAAAAACCTACTTGGCATCAAATTTGTCAAACAATCTTACTAGTTATCCAAGCAGTCCAAGATCTCATTTCACGGTTTAAACCACTGGTTCAGTTTTATCACATGGAAAATATATGTTCATAATAGGAATATTAAAAATGCATGGGACAGCCAGTAGAGGAAATTTGGATATAACCAACTCAGTGTGTTCATGGCCTCTGTATCTGCAGATTCAACTAAGAATGAAAATGTTTTAATTGTGTACTAAACATATGTAGAAAATTTTTGTCATTATCTATACAATATAGTACAGGAATTGGTATAAAATTATTTGTATTACATGTGGTATTTTAATTTTAAAGAATAGTATAGCTGAACATAGGTGGGGTTTTTTTGTTTTGTTTTTGTTTTTTTTTTTTTTTTTGAAGACAGGGTTTCTCTGTAGCTTTGAAGCCTGTCCTGGAGCTAGTTTTTGTAGTCCAGGCTGGCCTTAAACCCACAGAGATCCACCTGCCTCTGCCTCCCAAGTGCTGGGATTAAAGGCCTATGCCACCACGACCCAGTTTGAACATAGGTTTTATACACATATTATGCAATTTTATGCAAGAGACTAGAATATTTGGGGATTTTGTATTAATAGGGGTTCCTGAAAACAGTTCACCCAAATCACAGAATTACAGTTTAACTCTTTAATTGCACTACCTGGAAAAAATTTAGCAAGAGACTGGAGACATGCCTCAGAAGTAAAGAGTTCCAGCTATTCTTACAAAGTACCTGGGTTCAATTGCCAATACATATTTGGTAGCTTACCATGCCAGTTTCATGTAATCTGCCACCATCTTCTGACCTACACAGGCATCCCAAGCATGTGTCCACACACACATACCTGAGAGATGTGTGGTGGGTATGGGGAGAGGGAGATAGATAAGCAGATAGACACAAACAGAAATAAAAATGAAAAATAGAAAAATCTAAAATAGAAAATTTTCCTTAAAAGATTTAATATGTTAATTACATATGATATATGTTGATATATAGGAGAATTCCCTTAGCATTTTTCAGTAATTCTAAAGTTTAGTTAAATGGCAATTTGGAACACTGAAATGTATCAGTATTAAAGGGCCCCTACCATTTATTCTGTTTTATAGTTTTATCTACTTTTAATATTAGAGATTTTATAAAGTTTTCTTTCATTAAATGTACAGGAGCCAAGCAAAATGCACATATGATTCAGTAACAATATATTAAAAGTGGTAATAAAGGCATTAATTCTTATTTTGTTTACTTTGAATAAAAATAAAATAATAATGTTCTCTCTTTCAAGGCCGGAGAATTCTTGACAGTTATTTGTGGTTTTCTGTGGAAAATGTAGCCTTTCATTGCTGAAACACAGCAAAAGAATAGTTTCATTTGTAAAGGCATTGTGCAGTGCTGCTAGCCTACTTAACCAATTATCTACCATTGTGCCCTGGGTTTAATTCTGTAAACAATATTTCCAGACAGCATTTTGCTACAGTATAATTATCTGTCTATGATCCAGACAGAACATTTTTGAAAACTGCTACTCTGAAAGTTTAACCAGTTCCCTTTCCTACTGTCCCTGTATGAGCACACTAGTTTTCCTTTTGCCTTAGCAATACAAGTATTATGAATTCAATTATCCCCTCTACCCTGAGAGCTATGTCAAAGTGTTAACCTTGTCACCTTATAATATGACATTATTTGGGATTACTGTCATATAAACGTTATCACTGAAGATAAAGTCATATTGCACTAATGCAATATAATTGGTGTTCTTATGAAGAGGGAAACTTTGGACAGAGTGGAGTGAACATGAGAGACTATTTGAATACATAGGCTGTGATCAGGTGAATGTTTCCATAAGCAAAGAACTATCAAAGGTTGTCTGCAAACAAGCTGAGATTAGTAAGAGACAAGGAAAGAGTCCCTTACAGTTTTTTTCTTTATTTTTACATTCCAACCACAGTTCTCCTTTCCAACCCTCCTCCTTATCATCCTCTCCCCAACCCATTTCTCCCACCAGCCCATCCCCCATTCCCTGCTCCCAGTGGTCAAGTACTCCCTCCCATGGGGAGTCAACAAAGTCTGTCACATTAAGTTGGGACAGGACCAAGCCCCTCCCCCCTGCATTAAGGCTGAGCATGGCATCTCACCATAGGAAATGGGCTCCAACAAGCTAGCTCATACACCAAGGATAGATCCTGGTCCTACTGCCAGGGGCCTCTCAAATAGTTTATGCTTCACCATTGTCTTCCACATTCAGAGGGCCTAGTTTGGTCCCATGGAGACTCCACAGCTGTCAGTCTAGAATTCATGGGTTTCCACAAGCTTGGTTCAGCTGTCTATGTAGATTTCTCCCGCATCTCTTCATCTCCCTTGATCATATATTTCCACCTACCCCCTGTCTTCAATTGGATTCCCAGAGCCCAGCCTGGTGCTTGATTGTGAATCTCTGCATCTCCTTCCATCAGTTACTGGATGAAGGCTCTAGGTTCTCTGGAGCTGTGGATTTTAGTCTGGTTATCCTTTGCTTCATATCTAATATCCACTTATGAGTGAGTAATACAGTGTTTGTCTTTCTGAGTCTGGGTTTCCTCACTCAGGATGGTTTTTTTTTCTGGTTCCATCTATCTTAAAGTAACTCTATCAAAAAAGTGAAAGATCTGTATGAAAAAAAAACTTTAAGTCTCTGAAGAAAGAAATTGAAGAAGATATCAAAAAATGGAAAGATCTGTAGTAAGGAGGCCACGTGTTGGTTCCCAGCTGCTTAACCCCAAAATAACCACACATAAACTGTATTATTTAAATTGCTGCTTGGTCCATTAGCTCTAGCTTCTTATTGGCTAACTCTTACATTTTAATTTAATCCATCTCCATTAATCTGTGCATCACCGGGAGGCCGTAGCCCACCAGCAAAGTTTCAGCACGTCTGTCTCCTGCGGCGGCTCCATGGCTTCTCTCTGATTCTGCCTTCTTTCTGCCAGCATTCAGTTCTATTTTCCCCACCTACCTAAGTTCTGCCCTGCTATAGGTCCAAAGCAATTCCTTTATTTATCAATGGTAATCACAGAATACAAAGGGAAATCCCACATCAAAGATCTTCCATGTTCTTGGGAAGGTAGGATCTACACAATAAAAATGGCAATCTTACCAAAAACAACCTACAGATTCAATGTAATCCCCATCAAAATCCCAACACAATTCTTAAAAGACCTTAAAAGAACAATATTCAACTTCATATGATAAAATAAAAAAAGAATAGTTAAAACAATCCTGTTAAAACAATAAAGGAAATTCTATAGGCATCACCATACCTGACTTCAAGCTATAGTAATTAAAACAGCTTGGTATTGACATAAAAGTAGACACGTGGATCAATGGAATCAAATCAAAGACCCTGATAATAAACCACACATCTAGGAAGACCTAACTTTTGACAAAGAAGCCAAAATGGTACAATGGAAGAAGGAAAGCATCTTCAACAAATGGTGCTGGCATAACTGGATGTGAACCTGTAGAAGAATGCAAATAGCTCCATACCTATCTCCATGCACAAAACTCAAGTCCACAAGGATTAAAGACCTCAATATAAATCTGACCACACTGAACCTGAGAGAAGAGAAAGTGGAAACTGGCCTTTAATGTATGGGCACAGGAGACCACTTCCTAAATATAACACCAGTAGCACAGACACTGAGAGCAACAATCAATAAATTGACTTCTTGAAACTGAGAAGCTTCTGTAAAGCAAAGGACATGGTCAATAAGACAAAACAGCAGCTTACAGAATGGGAAAAGATCTTCACTAACCCTACTTCTGAAAGAGGGCTGATCTCCAAAATATATAAAGAACTCAAGAAACTAGACATCAAAATATAAAATAACCCTTATAGATTTTAAGCAGAGCCTGGCCCTACTGGAACATTCATTTCAAACTTCTGAGGTGATAAAATTGTCTTGCTTTAACAAATCCAGTATCTGAACCTTTGTTGAGGCAGTGTCAGCAAATTAATGTATCTGGAAACTCTTGTTTAATTTTTCTTATCAATGAAGAAATTAACACATGCGTAGTGATGAAAT